CAGTTCCACTTTTAATGTTAACTGCCCTCCCCCAAAAAGAAAAAGCACAGATGGAGCCTTTTAAGAAAGATGCGTCATAACTCTTTTCCACAGAGAGAAGGTGCACAATTCTGGAGCTTGAGGGTAGTGTGTAGGCAAAGGTGGCACTGGCCTGGCCTTCAACTGTGAGTGGAAATGAAGGTGGCAGACTTGGGGCACCGGGACCTCGGGTCTCCTTGTCGGCAGATCCCCCTGCATCACTAGGAAAGCTGTCTCTCCCTGTTGATACCAGTGCTGATGGTAGACAAGGTTTCATCTATGGTAAGGTCCTCTTCCAGGATTCCCTAACATAGAAGAGGGGCCTGAGATCCTAGAGAGGGTAAGGGCTTTTATTGTTTCGGAGGAGAAAGAGAAACCATCCCATTTTTCTGGGATGTCTATATTCTGGGTAATACGCACCAAAGGAGGTCAGTGTCCTGCCACCCCATCACAAGAATGGCTATCCCTGACATGTGTGGAGGGATTTACAAAGTGAATTCACAAACATCAGATTTAATTCCCCTGACAGCCTTGACAGATAAGCAAAGAAAGTGTCACTACTCCATTTATGGATGAAGGTATTAAACACTCCTTTTGTGGGTTTTCTTCTCCCTCCACATTTAGATAAATGGCATTTTGAGTGTCCTAGTCAAGTAAAGCCCAGGGGACTTGCTCAGAGGCAGGCCCCCTGGTTGGCAAGGGAGGCACAGAAAGCTAGAGGTCAGGGCCAATGGCTCTGCTAAAGCCCCTTCATGTGCAGGCCCCGAAGCATGTCTGTATCTGATCTCACTTGCTTCTGTGTTATGTTAAAATCTTGGGTCCTATCTCTATCTCCTTGATTTTTTAGCATCACCACCCTTCCTCCAAAATGACAGGAATTACCTACTTCCAGGTGCTGGGACAGTGGAACAGGGTGGCATTGGATCTCCAGTGGCGGGACAATGGCGGCAAGTGATTATCACAGTGTGGTTCCAGGAAGGCTGGAACCCACAGCCTCCCACAAGGCCCTTCCTGGGTGGGCTATGTGAACAGTGACTTGCTCATAGTTTTAGGAAGGCTGGTCTCACTTATCCCTTCCTATGTAGACCTGCCCCAGAGTGCTCCACATCCATCTTGTTGAAACCTCACAACTCTTGGAGGTAAATACTACAACTATGGGCATGGTACAGATGAGGAAACCAAGACTCAGAATATAGGTTATTTGCTCTAAGTCACAGCTGTTAGGCAACCGAGCCTGGATATCAAATCAAGTCCATTTGCTTTATCTCCCAGTGCAAGTTCTAGGGTCCCCTGGGCCCAGGACAGTACATGGCAGTTCTCTCAGGGTGTGTGTGTGTGTGTGTGTGTGTGTGTGTGTGTGTGTGCGCGCGTGCGCGCGCGCAGGGTTGGATCATAACCTAGGTCTCAGGGTCAGAGGCAGGATTCTCAGGGGCTCTTAAGCCTCAGTCCTTTGTTCCAAACTGGTGACACCACCAGAAAGGCAATTTCAGTGGAAAACTCCTTTTGGTAGTGCACAGTGCCCAAAGGCAGAGGCCAAGTCCCTAAAAAAACTACAGACCACTCTAACTTCCGGCTGGAGAAGCTGGACGGGACGCTGCTGGGTTAGGGCACGGGGAGGAGCATCCTTGGCGTTTACGCAAAGAGGCAGAAGGGAGCACCTGAGCTCTTGGAGATTTTGCAAAGCCGCTAAGGAAGCAGGCTGAGGATGCGGGAGTGGGGAGGATGAGAACGCGATTTGGCTCTGGGCTGGAGCGGGGAGAATAAGGATAAATGCTCCGGGCCGGAAGGATCCCAGCGCCCGCTGTCTTTCCTCCTGGGCGGAGGCCAACGCGTAGGGCCACTACAATGCACGGCTTCACTAGTTGAAGCTTCTATGTGGGCGCCCATTTGATGGCGTGTGTGGGATGGGGGTTGGGAGTTAGGCTCTGGCCTTGAAGTCCCTGATAATTAGGATCCCCGTGCACGCGTGAAGTCCACACCCGAAAAGGAAACTGAGAACGCGTGCTGGCTGTTGGCAAATTTTCCGCGCTCGTAGACACATCTCGAAATGAGCTGGTGCACGCGGCTCCTGCGCAGATGCAGAAACTGAGGGCGGCAGAGGAAGAGGGGCTTGCTCAAGGTTATAACGCAAAGGAGTGCCGGAGCCAGATGGACCTTGGTCAAATGTGGAATGAAAGAGTTTGGGAATTCGAAGGGCGCTTGAATCCGCCGGCGAAAGAAAACGCACTCAGATGCGTGGGTGTTGGCGACTCCCCACATTTTGCTGAAGAGGAGTGGATAGGGCACGGGAGGCTTCTCCTAGACGCCTCCTAGCGGCCTGCACCCGGGCCTCACAGCGGGTGCCCGTGGGTGGGGAGCAGGGCCTGAGCAACCGTCACTTCTCCAGGTGGTCTGAGGCTTCCTCGGGGAGGAAAGCGGTGGTGTGGCTCTGTTTTAGGCCCCACAACCTCCGCAAAAGTGACCTTGGAGTCCTCTCCACTCCTTTCCTGGGGTGGGAGGAGAGGACAGAGGTGTAAATCCCACCGCGTCCAGCTGTCCTCTGGGGTCAAGCCACAGGTTACTGTGCGGGCGGGGACAGTGTGGGGAAGGAGGTTTACAGAACTGGTCTCTGTTGGCATGGTTCCGTCCGATGCTTCCCAAACCCACACGTTTTCAAAGGCAGAGGAGAGCGGTGCTTCATCTCCGGAGCCATCCGTCCTTACTGCCCATCACCAACCGCTATTGTTCTGGCAACACTCCCGCAGCCAGTCACACAGACCACAGGCGGCTCCTTGGGTCACCCCCACAGATCCTTTAGAAAGACCCTTCTCCACAAAGGGAAGTCCAACGAGAAGCAATTATTTGGATAATTCCCCACAATCATCCCTCCTTTCAGGTCTCTGATCAAAACTGTCTATCTCTACCGAACAAATTCACCGGATGATTACCCTCTTCTTCCTTCTGTCTATGTAGACGCGACCTGAGACGCGCCCCAGTCTCCTTCCCCTGCCTCCACCAGAGCCGTGCAGAGATGGGACCGGTGGCTGGGTCCGCATTCTCCGCAGAGCAGCGTCCCAAGGCGTCCCAAAGCTGGACCCGGCTCTGGCCAGAGAGCGCCAGGGCCGAGGCCCAGGAAGGGCGCCTGGGTGGGCGCTGTCCAAGCGGCCGAGCGACCGCTGCAAGCGCCTCCCCCTCCCTCGCGGCGCCAGCACGCGGCCCCGCCGGGCTCCGCTCCCAGTCGCCTGCCACCGGCCCGCCGGGCACACGCCTGGGGCGGGATGGAGGCTGCGCCAAGGCCGCCGAGGTGCCTGCGGCGGCGCCGAACAACCAGAGAAGCTGAGAAGCTCCTCTGGCCCTTCAGCCTCCACCCCCCACCCCCATCTCTTTTCTCAGATCCACCATGGGAATACTCCAGAGCGCTCCCCCTCTTTACCATCCCCCAGCCGGTCCGGAAATAATCCTTTGAGAAGGGAGGCGATGCTACAGGCAACCGAGGTCATGAGGGCTGGGGTGGGGGGTGGGTATCGCTGCCATACACCTATGTATAGCTCTGATCACAACCACCCCTCAAGGAGATCACCTCCAGTCTTGTTGGTCTCCTCCACATTTGCTCAATTGTGGGGAGTAGATCTTAGTTTTTACACCTGGATGGGACATTGGAGACCATCTAATCCAAACTCCTATTGCTACAGATGAGGAAACTGAGGCTCGGAACGGATGCCACTTACTAAGGGCCACAGAGCTAGCGAGAGGATGTGTTGGGACTAGAACCCAGTCTTAACGGTACTTTTATTTACTTCAACAGTCCAGTAATTCCCAGGGAGTTCTCTCCATCTTTCTAAACTTCAATCGCCAATTTGCTTTAGCTCCTCCAAACAGCAAAGACGCTGAAGAGAGTGACAGTAGATAGGAGAAGAAAGCTGGAAAAATAGAGCCCCATTCTCCCCAACCTGCACACCCGACCCGTGGCACTTTTTCTGCTCAAACCCTTCTCTGTGCTTTGCTCCAAGTTCTCAGGAGAATCCCGAGGCACTTCACCCCAAACATTTCCACCCATACACCCCCAATTCCCAGGGCCATTGGCCCCTCCAGCGACGCTGCCCCCCCTTTCTAGAGCCACCCCCGGCTGCAGCCCGCCCTGAGCGCGCCGCCTGTTTATTCAGCCGGGAGTCCGGCACGCGCCAGGCGCACGCACTGCAACAACAAACCCGGCTGAATGGAGAGTTTGCAAGGAGCGGGCGCAGGGACTGCGCGGGGGGGAGGGGAGAGGAGGAGGGAGAGTTTAGGGAGTGGGTGGGAGGAGGAGGTAGGAGCAGGGGGGGAGTGGGGGCTGCAGCCGCTTGCTGCAGCAGCGGGGAGTGGGGGGCGAGGCGGGGCCAGGGCTGCGCGTGGGGCTGGGTGTCCCATTGAAAAGGCGGACGCACTCCGGCCGCCCAGCACTCTCTCACTTCTGGCCAGGGAACGTGGAAGGCGCGCCGACAGGGGACCGGCCAGGGAGGGCGAGTGAAAGAAGGAAATAAGAAAGAAAGGGAGTTAACAAAATAATAAAAACAGCCTGAGCCACGGCTGGAGAGACCGAGACCCGGCGCAAGAGAGCGCAGCCCTAGGGGGCGAGGAACGGGAGACTCAGCAGAGCGTGCTCACCACTGACTTTTGCTTCTTCTGCCTTTTTTTTTTTTTTTTAAACAAGAAGGCGCTAGCGGCAGCCTCACACGCGAGCGCCACGCGAGGCTCCTGAAGCCAACCCGCGAAGGGAGGAGGGGAGGGAGGAGGAAGAGTGGAGGGAGGAGGAAAAGCGTTTGCACCTTCTCTGCTCCCACCCTAGGAAGTCTCCCGGGGATTTTGTATTTTCTTTTTTTTAACTTCCCTCCGGCCTCCCTCTTCATCTCTCCCCTTCTTTCCCTCTCTGTTCGTGCACCCAAGTCCTGTCTGTGTCCCCTCGCGCGTCCGCACCTCGCGTCCCCGCTTGCTCCCATTCCGCGACTCCTTGGCGGCCGCTGCGCATGGAGAGCTCTGCCAAGATGGAGAGCGGCGGCGCCGGCCAACAGCCCCAGCCGCAGCCCCAGCAGCCCTTCCTGCCGCCCGCAGCCTGCTTCTTTGCCACTGCAGCGGCGGCGGCGGCGGCGGCAGCGGCGGCGCAGAGCGCGCAGCAGCAGCAGCAGGCGCCGCAGCTGAGCCCGGCGGCCGACGGCCAGCCCTCAGGGGGCGGTCACAAGTCAGCGTCCAAGCAAGTCAAGCGACAGCGCTCGTCCTCGCCCGAACTGATGCGCTGCAAACGCCGGCTCAACTTCAGCGGCTTCGGCTACAGCCTGCCGCAGCAGCAGCCGGCAGCCGTGGCGCGCCGCAACGAGCGCGAGCGCAACCGCGTCAAGCTGGTCAACCTGGGCTTTGCCACCCTTCGGGAGCACGTCCCCAACGGCGCGGCCAACAAGAAGATGAGCAAGGTGGAGACGCTGCGCTCCGCGGTCGAGTACATACGCGCGCTGCAGCAGCTGCTGGACGAGCACGACGCGGTGAGCGCCGCCTTCCAGGCTGGCGTCCTGTCGCCCACCATCTCCCCCAGCTACTCCAACGACTTGAACTCCATGGCCGGCTCGCCGGTCTCCTCCTACTCGTCCGACGAGGGCTCCTACGACCCACTCAGCCCGGAGGAGCAAGAGCTGCTCGACTTCACCAACTGGTTCTGAGGGGCTCGGCCTCGTCAGGCCCTGGTGCGAATGGACTTTGGAAGCAGGTAGGTCGCATTTAGGAGTGAACAGGATGATTTTCTTATCCTCCTCATTTTTCCTCCGTCTTAGTGTCAGGAGGAGCGGGACTGTCTCCACGGAGGTTGGGGGAGGGGGTGGCTGATTTAAAGAATTTGTAAAAAGTTTGTCGATTTCAAATGCTGGTTTGTTAGTTTCAGTATTGGCCTCTGAGAGTGGCTTTGCCCAGTTCGCTAAGGACTGAGGGTGGGGTGAGGTGGGGGGATGCTGGAGAACCGAGTACTCCGACCTGTCAAAAGAGGTGCTCTACCTGACAGATCCTCTCCCAAACCTCCACTTTCCCCCACCGCCAGCCTCCAAGTTCACACTAACCTCTCCCCTTCTTCTTAAGTTATAGGGTGACCGCACAACCTGCATCTTTAGTGCTTTCTTGTCAGCGATGTTGGAAGGGAGGAAAAAAAAAAGAAAAAAGAAGAAGAGAAGAAGGAAAGAAAAGCAAAACAAAATAAAATCAGGCAACCAACCCCAAGACCAACTAAGCAATGCATGCCTGAGAAGCAAGGCTCTCTCGCAAAACGGGGATGTGCTCAGAACTGTTACCTTTGCACTCCAATCATTTACGGAGCTACGAAGGGTGACTAGGACCTGAGTCAGAGCGCAGAGTGCAGCTTGTGTGCAAAAGCAGTGGGCTCCTGGCGGAAGGGAGCAGCACAGCCCTATAGAAACTCCCACCCACCAGTAACAGGCAGAACAGAAAGCACTTGCTAGGGTGCCTTCACCTCCCCGCTCTCTCTGAAAGCGCAGTTCTTAGGCCTGTAGAAATGGGTTGGTGTCTTTCGTCTCAGTATCCCCCATCCCAATAAGCTGTGGACATTTGTCTGCAGTGAAGTTATGCTCTACTCAGTCCTTTGAAACTCCGATCCCTGGCGGGGGGGGGGGCTTCCCTAAACCCCATTTCCTCACACCATCTTTTCTACCATTTTCATCATAGAATGCTTCCAATCTTTTGTGAATTTTTTTATTATAAGAAAAATCTATTTGTATCTATCCTAACCAGTTTGGGGATATATTAAGATATTTTTGTACATAAGAGAGAAAGAGAGAAAAAATTTATAGAGTTTTGTACAAATGGTTTAAAATGTGTATATCTTGATACTTTAACATGTAATGCTATTACCTCTGCATATTTTAGATGTGTAGTTCACGTTACAACTGCCATTTCCCCTATGTGGTTTTGTAAAGAACTCTCCTCATAGGTGAGATCAAAAGGCCACCAGATGTACTTCAGCACCAATGTGTCTTACTTTATAGCAACTTTGTTAATGTATTAATGATGTTATTAAATACTGTTCAAGAAGAACAAAGTTTATGCAGCTACTGTCCAAACGTAAAGTATGGCAGCCAGTTGGTTTTGATAGGTTGCCCTTTGGGAAATTTCTATCACTGCCTTTTTTTTTCTTACTGTTTTATTACAAACTTACAAGAAACGTGTATAACCCTGTTTTATACAAACTAGTTTCGTAATAAAACTTTTTTCTTTTTTTACAAATGAAAATAATCAGCTGCCTCCAAGTCTTCCTTGACTCTGCTGTCCCTGTCCAAGTTATTTTCGAAATGCCAAAGGAAAGGAGCGGGCGGGGGACAAGAGGGTGGTATAAAACATGTCAAGTGGCAGAAATGAGCAAGATAAGTGCTATGACCAGTCCTACCCGAGGTGACTCCATAATGAATGTAGAGGGAAAAGACATACATAAGCTGTACAAAGCAAAGACAGCTTTCTTCCCCTTTTATGCTGCAAACATACACATGTACCTCAAGAACAGGTGCTGAATAATGGCTGCAACATCTTTTGATGAGATGATTGTATATTTTTTTAAAGCCCCCAGAATGTGAACTGGAAGGAGAGGGTCCTCACCTTACTTTCTAACCCTTACCCCCATTCGGAGTTTCTTTTTGTGAAACTGGAAAGACTGGATGGAATAATGGACACTAGGGGTGGGTGGAAGCCTGGTGGTACTGGAGCTTGGGCATGTGGGAGGTAGCCCCCGTAGTCTTCCCAGTGATGCGTGTGTTCTTCCTTCACTCCTAGGCACACGTTTTCTCGTCCTTTGCCCCACTCCACACACTTTCCATATTGATTTTAAGTAAAGGACACATAAGATATGATTTCCTTGTAGAAGGAGTTAGATTTAAATGAATAAAAGCCTTAGAAATGTGTGGTCGCTTTGAGACACTGGCCTATCTGAGCTTGTGACTCTATCCGAATAGCGTGAGCTGCGTGTAAAAGTACCCAATTACCAAGATTCAAAAAGAAATTGGTGGGTTTTTGGCTGGCTTGCTTCTTGTCAGTTAGCAAGGACGTGATCAGAATCCTACCCCCTCTCTCGCCGGCTCCTCGCTCGCCGCCTGCATTACTTGCAGATTCAGTTTGCGTGTCTCCAGCCAAGCGGAAAGCCTAGCGCAAAATGCATCTTACAAAACCCAACAAAGAACGGAGAGCCAGCACGTCTTCCAGAGTTAAAAATCTAGTCTGTGTTGGTACATCTATACCATTTAGTGGCACAGAATAATCATTTTTTAAAGCCGCGATGCATGGAGCACGCCACAGCGTCTGATGTCATTTTGCTAAATGACCCTCTATAGAATGCACATTGAAGCTTCAGTCCCTTTCAAAGAGATGAACGTAATTAAGGGGAAAAAAAATCAGTAAATTCCTCATCGCCATAAATAATCGGACTTTCTGCCAGCAGTGGGCCAATTTAGAGCTTACTTGCGGGAAGTAATGCTTTTGTGATGCCTGCTTTTATTTTTATCTTCTCATTTGGAGGACCAGAGCTGGGGTTCCCCCCCATTTCTTTTTCTTTTAATTTAGCTCCTTTGCAAGTTTCCAGATAAGGTATGCAAAGAAAGTGTAGCAAGTCATTTATGGCTATGAATATAACATTAGGATAATGTTTCAGCCCCCACAAAGGGGATTTTTCCCCTTCTCCTTGTGAAGACAGGTGTTCTTTTACTCACTTCTGAATGGGAAATATCCAGTCTCGTTAAACTCGAGGCAAAGTTAGCCGTTGTTTGCCACAATGCGAAGGCAAACTCTAAAAATTCACAAAAACACACACAATTTTGCCGAAGCTAGGAAAGGGCAAAGCGGGGATTGGGCAAAATCTCATTACATCTGCTCTAATCGCTTAGCAACACAAAGCCGGGGCTTGTGCGAGGAAGGGAAGCCTTTCATAACGCTCTGACAGGCCGCATTCAGCCAGCATTAGTCAGCTCCATAAATCACCGCTGCCCATTGGCTGCGCCGCGGGCTTTGCAGCGGCCCTGGGCTGTCAGCGAAATACAAAATGTAGACCCCAGCGGCTAGCAATCGCGGCCTCTCCCCGGTCCTAGCCCCCACCTCACTTTCTTTTTCTTTCTTTCTCTCTCTCTCTCTCTCTCTTTTTTTTTTTTTTTTTGAGGGGGCTACTGGAGAAGAAAACTGCCTTGACTTTATTGACTGAGAGATCTTACCTATTCAAAAAATGGCCCGGAGACCACCGAGTTAAGACTGGAGACGCCTGAAATTGACGAGGAGGAGCGGGCAGTGCAGGAGAGAAAGAAAAAAGCGGACCTGCCGCTGGCTGCCGAACTATGATCAAAGGCTGAGCTGGGGCTACTGGGCCGCACATTGCACCTCCCTGACAAAGCCTTTTAAAATTTTTAAATTGGGAGTAGGAGCGTGTGTCTGGAGAAAAACCTAGCTCAAGTTCACATCAGGCAGGCCCACCAAGGAAGAGAGAAGAAGCCGGTCTGCTCTCTGCATAAAGCAAGCATCCAAGGCATAGAACTGAGATGTAATAGGAAGGAGGGAGTGGAATGTGCATTCCCACCTGGCTTTGCTTGCAGAGCTGGGGCTGTTGGAACACAGAGGCAACAGCAGTTCAATTCCTTCCCAGCTTGAGTGTTCTTGTTTGTAACATGGGGTTGATGGTACCCACAGCAGCAAAAGGAGAAAATTTAAAGCAGTTAGCACTGGCTTGTGGGGAAGGTTACAAGCTCTATGTAAATGTGAGTGCCTATAGTTGTTATTCTTGACTTCCAGTCCTGCCTCTCGTTTTCACAGGATTGGTTCGCTGATGCATCTAAATCACAGCCTAGATTTGAGGCTTACCCGTAAACCACATAGAAAGAAGTCTGGCAGTAGATGTGGAGTTAAGGTAGGCTTTACTGGGAAGGTCAGCTCACCTTACTTCAAATGCCACCTCCTCCAAGAAGTTTCCCTGAACACTCTCTAACTAAAGCAGCTCTCCCCTGGCCACTCTTATTCTCTAACCATTCTGCTGTTTCTCCTTCCTAGCATTAACTACTATGTGAAAAAACTGATCTTTGTTTATATGTTTGCTCTCAACTGCCCCCTGTTAGATGGTAAACTTCAGGACGACAGGGACTGTACTGGTCTTGTGCACTGGCATCTCCACAGCCCCTTGGGGACATAGGTATTTGCTGACTGGATGGATGGTCTGCCCTGTTGGATGGGGAGCCGTACTGCTTATCTTCCTTTCCTCCTCCAAACCCACCTTCTCTGCTCTGCTTTGTGTTTCAGGAGGCTGGTTGTTAAGGACTTCATCACTAGAGCTCCCTTGTCTTCTGGCTTTCTGTTGGATTTGGCCAGTAGGAGGCACCAATAGGAGATTGAGAGGTAGTAGGGGAGGTAGGTTGGGTCCTTTAGATCCTTGCTCCTCACTGCTTGGACTCAGTTGCTTTAGCAATGGCTCTGCTCCTTGGTCTAGGAGCCACAGCTCTTGTCAGGAGGCCTCTCTCCCACAACAACAGATTGTGCTGAGATGTAGTAACAGCTTCTTCCCCTTGCTCCTTCAGGCACAGAGGAGGTAATGGCTTCCCCTTGTTAGTAGTCTCAGGGTGCTGCACCATTTTCTTCCCTTAGCCCCACCCACATCTCCTCTCCCCATTAAACTCTTTTCATTTACCCTTTCAAGTGT